ATTTGGCCCCGCCCTAGCACTAGAACCCATGACCCCGGGGCCATGAATTTCACAATTTTGGTAGAGGACTCAATGTTGATTACAATCATGCAAACAGTTTGACTGCTTAATGTCCAGGAGTAAAGAAGAAGATTTTTAAAGATTGCACTAATTTTAGTGTTTTTTGCCCCACCCCCAGGCCCCAGGGGGGGGGGGGGGGGCATGGACCATGAAATTCACAATTTTTGTTCCCCTTTACCCATAGATGCTATATGCCAAATTTGGTTGAAATTGGTTCAGTGGATTCTGAGAAGAAGCTGAAAATGTTCAAATGTTAACGCACGACGAACGACGACGGACGAAAAGTGATAGCAATAGGTCACCTGAGTTTACTCAGGTGACCTAATAAATGCCTTATAACTCGCTGTTAATTTAGTTTGAATTTCTCGGGATCGAGAAATCAAGGAAATCAATTATTCATGTACATTTAAATCTACGTCGAATGTACAGTGGAATTTTAGAAAATTAATCAATGTTCCCCATTATATCACTGTTTACATGTATAGTGTACATGTCCGCATCGTCGCATGAACAACAATGATCGATCCACAATACCATTACTGTATTGGAATATACAAGAGGCGGGGCTTACTGGCGGTGAGATTAAAGCGGGGTCAGCTAAATCACTTACCGCGACAAAGTGAGCCATCCTGTCTACTAAATCACTTACTGCGACAAAGTGAGTCATTATATAGACTAAATCACTTACTGCGACAAAGTGAGTCATTATATAGACTAAATCACTTACCGCGACAAAGTGAGCCATCCTGTCTACTAAATCACTTACTGCGACAAAGTGAGTCATTATATAGACTAAATCACTTACCGCGACAAAGTGAGTCATTATATAGACTAAATCACTTACCGCGACAAAGTGAGTCATTATATAGACTAAATCACTTACCGCGACAAAGTGAGTCATTATATAGACTAAATCACTTACTGCGACAAAGTGAGCCATTATATAGACTAAATCACTTACTGCGACAAAGTGAGCCATCCTGTCTACTAAATCACTTACTGCGACAAAGTGAGCCATTATATAGACTAAATCACTTACCGCGACAAAGTGAGTCATTATATAGACTAAATCACTTACTGCGACAAAGTGAGTCATTATATAGACTAAATCACTTACTGCGACAAAGTGAGCCATTATATAGACTAAATCACTTACTGCGACAAAGTGAGCCATCCTGTCTACTAAATCACTTACCGCGACAAAGTGAGCCATTATATAGACTAAATCACTTACCGCGACAAAGTGAGTCATTATATAGACTAAATCACTTACCGCGACAAAGTGAGTCATTATGTCAGCTAAATCACTTACCGCGACAAAGTGAGTCATTATGTCAGCTAAATCACTTACCGCGAGCTAAATCACTTACCGCGACAAAGTGAGTCATTATGTCAGCTAAATCACTTACCGCGACAAAGTGAGCCATCCTGTCAGCTAAATCACTTACCGCGACAAAGTGAGTCATTATATAGACTAAATCACTTACCGCGACAAAGTGAGTCATTATATAGACTAAATCACTTACTGCGACAAAGTGAGACATTATATAGACTAAATCACTTACTGCGACAAAGTGAGTCATTATATAGACTAAATCACTTACTGCGACAAAGTGAGTCATTATATAGACTAAATCACTTACTGCGACAAAGTGAGTCATTATATAGACTAAATCAGATAAGAGAAGCAGTGGACTCTATTTACTGGCTAAATCACTTACTGCGACAAAGTGAGTCATTATATAGACTAAATCACTTACTGCGACAAAGTGAGCCATCCTGTCTACTAAATCACTTACCGCGACAAAGTGAGTCATTCAGACCTGCCAACCAAAATTGATGCTGTGGGGGGTCATGACCCAACATTCAGAAATGAAATGTTGGGTCATAGCGCGTGACGACATTTTTCGAGGGTTGAGTAACAATATAGTCCCCAAATTTTTAGACATCGATGTAAACACACACATGTATTCATTACATTTTATTTCAGGCTTAAATTATAATCTTTACATGCCAGTTTTGCTGCTTTAAGCACACTTTCAGATGGAAAGTATTCATAACAGTCATGGTCTTTGTTCTGTTTTGTACATAGCAATGAGCAAACTGTGTCATTTTTGAGTTCAGATCTGCATTCTGTGACAATTTTTCTCATTATGGAGAACATTCTCTCAGAATCTGCATTAGAGATGGGGATTACAATACACATTAAAGCAAGTTTGCTCAAACAAGGAAATCTTTTTTGTTTTGTGAATATGTCCTGCATTTGAGCTATTTCACCCCAATAGCTCTCCACTGATGATCTATCTGGCAGTTCATCATCTGCCAAAAGTTGAAAGTCCATGAACTCATCTGTAAGCTGTTGATACTCTTCTTCTTTTAGGACATTAAACCTCTTGCATAGGTGAACAACTGAAATGTAGTAAAATAATTTTCACATGTTTATTTGTATAATGTTTAAATGAATAAAGTATTTTCTTATAAACTAATGCTCTATAAACTTACCAGTATCAGATGTAACACTGGCTCTATTATCTGGGTTGAGGAAGGCCATGTTGGTAATAGTCGGATCATCAAAAGGAAATTTCTTCAACATTTTGTCTGTTACTGCCACGTAGAAATTTCTGACTGATCTGTGAATAAAAAAATAATAAACAGTGCATTCATATTTTGTTTATTAAATAGTTAATTAAAATCAAATCACTTGCTTAACTACATGTACTCATAATTACCTAAAAAATCTTGATCTGGATGAAGGGGCAAGCATTTCATCAACTTCATCCAGGTACACTCTTGCATCTCTACCAATAGCAAGCAATTCATCATCATGTTGACTTTCCCTGTTGGAGTAAGGGATGTCCTTTACTTGTAAGTATTTCTGAATGACTGCCACTTTTGTGAATTTGGTCAAAAACTTTTTCAAGAGCCTCTTCATTTGTTCCGTCAACAAACCAATTTTAACAGCATCTGCCTTTAAAAATATGATCATAAATGATTATTACTAACTCATATGGAGGCTTTGATTAAAAATAATTACATAAATACATGAAGACATAGCTTTATATTTACCTGGCAGGATAAATTAAACTCATTCATTGGTTCTAGGATGAATTGTAGAAAGTAGAAGTACAGTTTCACTTCTGGATTTGCAAGATGTCCTGCAAGCTTCTGCACTTTTCCTTCCTTATCTGCCTCATCGTGACTGTTAAAATAGCTGGACAGGGCAGGCCACAGATCAAGAGTTCTTTTCACCACACGCTCTAATGACAGCCACCTTGTTGTAACATGCTTCAAAATCTTCATAGGTTCAATCTCGCAGAACTGTACAAATTCCTGATTGAATATTTCCTTCCTCTTGGCACTGGAGATATGAATATGAGATGATAAATACAATGAATTAATTGGAAAACTCAATATAGGTTATTATATTATAAATTGTAAGATGATAAATAATGCAATCTTACCTACGATGAAAATGGAAAAAAATGTCCACCAAAATATCATCAATTGGGATTGGTATCTGCTTAACTCCTGCTTGGCAGCACAGGTTTGCCAAATGGCAAATACATCCGATATCTAATACATGAGGTTGTTGTTCTTGAATTCTTGAGAGCACAGAATTTCTACGACCTTTCATCACACTGCAGTTATCACTGACAAAGCTCACTACATTTGACCAAGGGATTTCCCTTTTCCTGAAAAATAAAACAAAAATATTTTTTAGGGTACCATAAAAATAAATAATTGTAAATTCATACAATTGATTGTAAAATATTTTATATGTTGATAAAATTCATAAATATTTGAAAATTAATTCATCTGAAACATTCATTCATGGCTTTAAATAAATTATCAGCATTGCCTTGATTTACAATGGGCATGTCTAGGAATAAAGTTCTGACTTCTTTGGTTGACTCTTTGAATGCTCTTACTAGTATAACAAAACATTTCTCTGAGCCCCGGTCATTACTCTCATCACATAAGACAGAAAAATGTTGATTTTTACATATTTCTACAACAGTTTTTTCATAATCTGGTGCAATTGCCCTTTTCACAATTTGAGTACATTTGGTGCGACCACAAGCAAAATTGGAGGCAATTTGACTATCTGAAAACATTCTTGGAACAAGTTTTGTGAAATGGTCAGCTACTGCAAATGATAGGTTATGCTCTGCTACAAAATTACTAAACAGAGTTTCAGCCAGAATAACTTTAGAAGACGTCTTGTTCTCAACAAAGCTAACAATACTCTTTGAAGATTTTGATGCCTCTTCTGCTTTCACATGAATTGACCTAGTTGCATGGCGTTTCACATCGTACAATGCACCAGAAGCAATTGAAAAATTAATCTGACAGAGCTTGCAATAAGCCCAATCTTCTCCTAGATTGCACCGTTGAATCCATTGGAATTCTTTTTCCCATGTACTTTGGTATTTACAACTGTATTTTTTACGTTTAGTAGGAGTCAGTGTACATGGCCCAGACATCGATCGTTTCCTTACCGAAGACATTTTTCAAACTGATTGTGAACTCTTTATCAAAATAATTACCTGTTTTCTGATGATCACAGCTCATACATCGTTAAAAAAACATAGCCGCTGGCATTATTCATGGTCTTGTTTACACTTCCGTTTCCATTATCAAAGGCGCCGTCTGGTGTCGAAAATTTAAAATAAATTAGAGTTATCTCTCTTTGGATTATTTACCGAAAATTGGGTGAAAAAATGGGGACAATCGATTTTGCGGGTGAAAATGATGACCCGCCGCGGGTCATTACGAGTGGGGGGTGAGAGGTCAGTTTTGCGGGTGTGACCCACCGAATGCGGGTCACTTGGCAGGTCTGGTCATTATATAGACTAAATCACTTACCGCGACAAAGTGAGTCATTATATAGACTAAATCACTTACTGCGACAAAGTGAGCCATTATATAGACTAAATCACTTACCGCGACAAAGTGAGTCATTATATAGACTAAATCACTTACTGCGACAAAGTGAGTCATTATATAGACTAAATCACTTACCGCGACAAAGTGAGTCATTATATAGACTAAATCACTTACTGCGACAAAGTGAGTCATTATATAGACTAAATCACTTACTGCGACAAAGTGAGTCATTATATAGACTAAATCACTTACTGCGACAAAGTGAGTCATTATATAGACTAAATCACTTACTGCGACAAAGTGAGTCATTATATAGACTAAATCACTTACCGCGACAAAGTGAGCCATTATATAGAGTAAATTATGTATCATGACAAAGTGAGTCATTATATAGACTAAATCACTTACCGCGACAAAGTGAGTCATTATGTCAGCTTAATCACTTACCGCGACAAAGTGAGCCATCCTGTGAGCCAGGTAGGTTTTACCCGTTGACTCTGGTCCATAGAACACAACACTTTTATAATGTTCCAGCTGGTAAAGAGAGATACATGTACATCTCTTATTGACAAACAATTAATATTAGGGATGTCAAAATTGTCAATAATTGATATTCGAATATTCGATAGTAGTATTCGAATATATTCGAATATTCGATAAAATAAATACATCTTGCATTAACATGTAATATGTATATATCTTCACTCTTTTGTCAAGCAATACACGTTTTATGTCATTATTTTTTTGATAAAATTTCATGTAGAGTTTTGTAAATGCACTGTAATTATATTCTTAAAATATTTTACAGAATATATGAAGAGTTTACATCCAAAATATGATTAAAAAAATTTTCCCCCAAATATTCAAAAGATTCTTTTAAAAAGCTTCTGATTAATTAATCGTCTTACCAAAGTGTACACTGATAAACCTACAGATTTATACCACGCAGAACAATTATCTAATGGACAAACATTAAAAGCAATTACTTTAATTAGTTTCCTGATAATGATTTTAAATGATGTATACATAAACAAGGGATCCATGTGTGTTACTTAAAAAATGTGTCCTTTCAACAATACAAACTAATTCTAAGTACTGGACACTGTTATACCTCTAATTAAATGATCAAATGAATAATTTGTATTGTTTTAATAAACACACTCTTCACACCTTTAAGGTAATTCAAAAGGAGTGTCTTTTAATTTTGTTTTAAATTAAATCTTATTGTTGGTCAAGAATAAGAATTTGATTCAATTTCTGATAAAGCTTCCGTTTTTGCCATTTTTTTTTCTTTTTGATGCTTGTATACTTAAAATCCGAATATTCGAATCATAATTTTATATTCGAATATCAACTCATTGAATGAATATTCGAATATTCGAATATTCGTTGACATCCCTAATTAATATATACATAAATTAAGTATTTTCCTTTCAGGTGAGCAAAAATAAAAGTAAAAGGAGTAATATAAGTTCTATTTAAAATAATGGACCTTGTAAACACTTGCTTATTTCCTAGCATCTACTTACCAGTCTGAGGTAGTTCTGTAGAACAGGGACAGGTAACAATACATCACAGGACACGGTCTCTAGGTTACCTGTAATGAAAAAACTTATTACATGTATAACTATCTATGTATATTTTAAAAGAAATGGATATACAAATAAAATGGTGCATTACATAACAGGACACTGTCTATAGATCATCTGAGTTGTTCAAACTGAAGATGAATCACTGCTAATAAAAATTGTACAGATAAGAATGACTCTACACAGTCACACAGTGCTCCAAGTCGCACTTACTTTTAGGTCGCTAAATGGCGACCTAAAACTTTTTTGGTCGCCATTTCAGAATTTCTGGTCGCCATTAACAAATTTTTCATTCGCCATGATGAAAACGTGAATAACACAATTAAAACAATGAACTAACATCCACATGTGTTATGTTTTTATTAAATCAAAGATTATTAATTACTGTGACTAGAAATCTTTTGCTAGTTGAAGGATATATTTTTATTAAATACAACCACCCTTTGTATGGTACACAGAAGAACACATGTAATCTGATCCTAGAATTAAATTTAATCAAAAGAAAATAAAACTTTGACAGTTGTTGAGACAGTTGTTTATCATGTTTACCTGTTTACTTACTACTAAGTATCTTACCCATAACACAGTCGTTATCAATGCCGCCAAAACACTTAATTAATTGTGATATGGAAGCCATTGACCAAATACTTTCATAACCAGGTCAGAGAAACTCTAAAAAGTTTACGACGTTTGGATGCCCTCTCTCAGAGACGTTATGTATGTACGTTTCTGGTTCTATCAAACTTTACTATTACAGCATGCTGTCATAACATTACATGATCCAAGTCCATATGACGCTTTGTAATGTGTGTTAAAGTTTATATCTTCAAACATTGTCTTGATAGAGAATCTTGAAAACGTAAATCTCGATCCCGATCATAACCAGAAGTCTCTGTCGAGACTGTAGCTCTACTGGTATGTACTTATCAAAAACCATTGCACTATTTTATGTATCTTTGTGTAGTCTACTTGTGTGCCAACTTATTTTGAAATCAAACTGGAACTGTAGAAGGAGTAGCGTTTTTAAGGAATTTCACAGAAAATTCTATTTTTAGTAACCATGGTAACACCGTTCATCGAAATCAGAAACCGATGCACTATTCTATGTATCTTAGGGTAGTCTACTTGTGTGCCAAGTTATACTGAAATCAGACCAAAACTGTAGAAGGAGTAGGTTTTTAAAGAATTTCACAGAAAATTCTATTTTTAGTAACCATGGCAACATCGTTCATCGAAATTAAAAACCGATGCACTATTCTATGTATCTTAGTGTAGTCTACTTGTGTGCCAAGTTATATTGAAATCAGACCAAAACTGTAGAAGAAGTAGCGTTTTTAAGGAATTTCACAGAAAATTCTATTTTTAGTAACCATGGCAACATCGTTCATCGAAATTAAAAACCGATGCACTATTCTATGTATCTTAGTGTAGTCTACTTGTGTGCCAAGTTATATTGAAATCAAACTAGAACTGTAGAAGGAGTAGCGTTTTTAAGGAATTTCACAGAAAATTCTATTTATAGTAACCATGGCAACACCGTTCATCTAAATTAAAAACCGATGCACTATTCTATGTATCTTAGTGTAGCCTACTTGTGTGCCAAGTTATATTGAAATCAGACCAAAACTGCAGAAGGAGTAGCGTTTTAAAGGAATTTCACAGAAAATTCTATTTTTAGTAACCATGGCAACACCGTTCATCGAAATCAAAAACCGATGCACTATTCTATGTATCTTAGTGTAGTCTACTTGTGTGCCAAGTTATATTGAAATCAGACCAAAACTGTGGAAGGAGTAGCGTTTTAAAGGAATTTCACAGAAAATTCTATTTTTAGTAACCATGGCAACACCGTTCATCGAAATCAAAAACCGATGCACTATTCTATGTATCTTAGTGTAGTCTACTTGTGTGCCAAAGTATATTGAAATCAGACCAAAACTGTGGAAGGAGTAGCGTTTTAAAGGAATTTCACAGAAAATTCTATTTTTAGTAACCATGGCAACACCGTTCATTGAAATTAAAAACCCATGCACTATTCTATGTATCTTAGTGTAGTCTACTTGTGTGCCAAGTTATATTGAAATCAGACTAAAATTGTAGGAGGAGTAGCGTTTTGAAAAATTGTTTACAGACAGACGGACAGAAGACGGACAGACAGACAGCTAGACAGACAGACGGACGGACGCCGGACGCATTACTATCGCATAAGCTCTTCTGGTCTCTGACCAGTAGAGCTAAAAAGATGGAGGTTGCCAGCCCAAATTTTCTCAGTCGCAAAAATGTGACTTAGTTTTAATTTCTAGTCGCAAAACCAATTTTTTGGTCGCAAATGCGACCGTTTTAGTCGCAACTTGGAGCATTGTCACACAAAATCTAAAACAATAGTGAGACTCAGGACCCCCTCAAAAACAGTGACCTTACCTTCTAGTACTATGTTGATGGTCTGAGATTGGTTATTGCACAAAATGTCGTAGGGGAGATTGTCCACGGAGTGTAATCCAGCCACCCAGTGATAGGAACCTGAAAACAACAGAGAGACTAATTCAAATACCAACTAGTTTTAATGACAGGAATTCTCATATAATTCCTCTCAGCTTTATATACCTATAGAGTAGTGCTGTATTGCCTTGAGCCCCAGACCTAGACTATACTGGTTATCACTAGTTATCTCCGGATCCAGTCTGCTGGTTTTCTTGGTTCGGATTCCGGTGTCCAGCTGGCTGAGGAAGTTAGACAGCACCGCCTGTAACACGCCCTCCAACTCCATCCAACCCGTGGCCGAGGTTATCTGTACCGCCCCCACCACAAACGACTGACCAGAAATGTTACTGGAGTTATCTACCCCTGACAGACGAGCGTAACTCAGCTCAATTGCCACGGGCACGTGTATACAGGAGCTACCTGTGATTCAGACAGAATTTAATCATTATTGTTAGTCTCCCAGAGTTTTAAAACAAAGCAGTTATTTATTATTCACAACAGAATACAGATTTTTAAAATGAAGCATAACTCTTGTTACTTTTGAGTATTTCAAACATATTACTGTTTATGCAGGTCTTACACATACCTAACTGAGACAGAAATTGATTGCAAATGGGTGTGGCTACATCTATTAAGCTCCGCCCCCATCTGTCAGTCTTCTTGACATCTATATTGCAGTACTTACTTATGATTGACAGACAATCCTAGGAAAAAAACCACATCATTTAACTTCATTGAAAATTTTACAATCAATTAAAGATTTTGGTCAAAATTTTGCTGCAGCCTTATTGAAATATTTACATTCGCTGTGTTTTTTCCCCAACTGTGTATTAAAAACTAGCAACTTATCGTCATATTTAATAAAAGTATAACGATATACGGAGGGATGATTTTCCAAAATTTGTTAATATAAGGAATGTTTTTAATTTTGTACAAGCCATCATTTAGCATAAAAAGTTTCTTAATTTAATACATTTGTTTTATCTTTCTTACTGTAGAGTTTTTGGAAGCCGCTACATGACTAACAGTCCAGCCATCATTGTCAGAAATGTCCACAAGTTCCTGTGTAGTCACATGACCTGGTTGCTGTGGTAACCGAGAGTGGTAGTCCAGTAAAAATTCCAGACATTCTGATTGGTCGGCATGTACCACACTGTGTAGAGGGGTCCAGGTAGTCTGTAAAAATAAAACAAGAAGCCTTTGTGTAACAGATTCTAATGGTTGTTGAAAAAATATCTTACATATGAGTTTCGTTTATTTGATATTTATTCAATAAGACATAGCCCTTTATATCATCAAACCTTGTGGTTTGCTTGATTTGGCAAATTCATCTTCAAATTAAAGAAAAATGAGACTGAAAATAGACTTTCTGACTTTGATCCTTGTTAAACTCAAGTAACTTAATTAAGAGTGGTCTAATCTTAGAAGTCCGACTGCAACCAGAGCTAAATGTAACCAATTGTACAGCAGTGATTGTATGATAAATGATTGAACACTGACTTACTGCTGAGCACACATTGAGCCTTGCCCCGTGGTCTAGCAATAGTTGACAGCAGTGAGTGTGCCCGTGGGTGGCGGCCAGGTGTAGGGGGGTCCAATTCTGCCAATCTCCCGTGTTAGGGTTCCCTCCTCTCTCCAACAACAGCTTTAAACAACTGTGTGATTAAACAAATATTGATGTTTTACAACACAGCTAACAAATAAACTACTCTAAAGCTTGGTTACAGGTAAGTCAATGGATCATAAAATGCTTTATTGTAATTGAGATACATAATTATACTTTATATTCATACACATCCGTGGAAACCCACAGTTAGTCTCACATACATGTTATTAAAGTAAATATAACACATGTTATAATAAGTAAAAAGTGTTCCATGAGCAATTATGCTAAGACTTTCATCTCAGACAATATTTACCTGTCATGTCCGTTGGCTGAGGCGGCGTGTGTCGCCATGTAGTTACTATCACTGTATGTCGACACACTGGCTCCATTATCTAACAGCAGTCTCACACAATCTATAATCAGCATAAATATCTTACTGTACAGCTAATATTTCACACAATCTATAATCAGTGTTAATATCTTACAGCTGATATTTCAGCATTGTCGCAAACCACGGCCAAAATGTATCATCCTCTCCAATATTGGCCATGATTGAATGAGAAGAGAATATTTCTTAGCTCATATAAATATTGACAAATGCAAGTAAAGCATAGTCGGATTAACTTTCATGTGACTTTTCAATACCCAATCGCAATGTAGGAAATATTTCTTATATACTGCTGCTACTTGTAAGTGAACATACTTTGTTCTTCACTTTAATTTTGACTGACCTTCGTGACCATACTTAGCAGCTAAAATGAGTGGGGTGGATCCGTCTTTTATCGGGAGGTTAACATCAGCCTGAGAGTCAATAATGAGTTTCTGTAATGAGGTGAAATTTCCGTCGGCAGCAAATCTATGAACGGGGGAGTTAAGCACATCAGCTGAGAGCGCGGGAGATCCGTCTAAATGTAGTGAATTATCCGAATCTGTCAGTAGAAACAATGGCATGTAAAACTTTTTAATTAGATGGGTCATTTTCTGACAAAAGTAAACTCAGTTGAAGGCAAACAAATTACAAACAAAAACATAAATGATGAATGATTTTATAAATATTTAACACTAGGCAATCATTTAAACAGAATTAAATGTAGCAAAAAAATGCACTGAAACAAAATCACAAAAACTTGAATACTAACTGATTGCTTAAAGTGATTTTTAAAAAGATAAATGCACTCTTATAATACATGGAAAAGGAATTTACGAAAAAATGAATTTCCTTAAAATTTGCAAAGTGTGATGAAAAATAAAGCTCGAATGCTCAGCATGCATGTGTTCTGAATATCAACAAAACATGCAAAAAAAACTGGAACAACTTAATGCACAATTTGTTTACTGGTTATTATTAAAGAGAAAAGGAAAATCAGTGATAACAAATTAGCTAAAAAAAACATTAATAAACTCTGACTTTTTAATTCTAAATAATGATTCTTACATCTCAAAGAGTTCTTTGGTAAAATTTTTCAGTAGTGGGTTGAGGTTAATTAGCTTTTAACAAAAGTCAATGGACAATAATGTATTTAGTTAAAGTACTACAGTACACATAGTCTCCTAAGTGTTTTACACTATATAATAAAGCTCTGCTGCTTGAAAACAGGATGCAGAAGCAGGAAAAAGAATTTCAAGCTCCTAGTCAACTCTACAGCTGTCACACACTTATAGATAAAGGGAGAGGGAGAAGGGGGGAAGGTCACATCACACATTTTGAAAGTAATCATCTTTACAGGATCCAGAGGGGTTTGGCAGAATTAGGGCCCAGAACATGTCCCTACCAGACCCCGGGTCAGTGTTACTATGGTAACTAGGGTGAGATAACTGCATTATTGGTGACATTAACCTGGTGATGACCTTGATATGGTGTGCAAGGTGAAGGTCACTTACAGTTAAACTCAGACAGCAGTGTCCCTACAATCTAAAATTCAACAAGGCCTGGTCATTATCAGCTACATGTACCAATCATTGTTACAGAGCTATAGTGCTGGAAATCTTACACACAAAGGCCAAGTATTCATTACCATCTATATCTGATAAACATACGTACAATTTAATAATCACTGTGGTTGACACATTACTCAAAGCCATCTAAAAACTTGTCAATGTGCATATTTGGTATAAGTTACTGTAGATTTAATGGACATAATTTAAAAGGTACGTATTTGTGTGCTTTTCCCTCCTTCTATTTGTTTGTATTGATAAAAAAATGGGAAAAATACCAAATAGAATGGAAAAGAAGTTAAGTTCTACTGTAACACTTAAATAAGAATTCTTGTCTCACATGTACATGCATTTCAGGTCTATGTTTGGGATTTGAAGTAAGCCATAAATAGATGTGTGATCTACAAAATAAGCCTGCAATAGTAGAGCCTAATATGACATCCATAGATTAAGCCTAGGGCAGCCATATCTTCAATATTTGTGTAGGAACTTAGCGGCTACTGTGGGTATAGTGTCATACCAACGCTATCTGATGTAGACCCCAGTCCTGTTAATCAGTCATAATAAAATACTGACAATAGGTAAAGCAATTCAGAGTTACAAACTACTGAATTTTTTCCTCCTCTGCAAGATAATACTCCATTTTCTGGTAAATTACATGTACTACTTTAATTATTTCATCTTGTTATTCCAGTTACATGTATCTATCTGACCCACTCTAAATCAAATATATGTACCAATTAAGTTCTTATCCCTAAAGCCCAAATGACAGTTTCTAATTTACATCTCAATACATAAATAATACATATATGCACTTCTTTGATTTATATTTTGTTTTGGTCTGCCATACCCTGTCTGCACACAGTGGCATGACAACCATACATTACCTGCCATGATAGAAGTTAGTAGGTTCTGAAGGTCGGCCATTTCTGGTCCGAGGAATTCTAAAGCCTCATTGGATGATTCAGAGGAGTCAGTCAAAGTCATGTGACCATTTGGGGCGGAGTCAGTATTGTTGTTCACCTGGGACTGTAAAATAAAGCATGCACATGCAGAAGTTAATAAGCACACAGGCATACTTAAACATGCATTGGTAAATTGGTAAATATCGTAAAATCAGGATAGAAATTCATCATTTTCATGTGCCGTTATCATGAAATAGCAAACTTGAGGTAAAAGAAAGGAAACGCTTTGCAGAACAGAACACAAAGAATCTGAAAATCATATATTGTAACAAAACCTGTATAAGAATAGGAGGTTTTAAAACCAAAATGTACCATGATAACAAAACATGCTTCATCAATGAACTGAAATTACCTCAAACAAAAATACATGTACTCATGGAAAAAAATGAAGTCAAATACTGGCATAACACAAACTGAAAATGTTTCACATTCACATTTCACATCTACATTCATTTGTCAAAAAAATTCAAAAAATGCAAACAAAAGACAGAAAGAGACATTGTTAAATGAAGCTTCAAAGACATAATACATAACAGATGTACTGCTACATGTAAGAAACTGATACAGACAGACAACACGTAATTATATTTCTATGGTCTCACCTTACTGAAGGGAATAGAATGTAAAAGTCTGTCACAAAAAACAACATGCATTGAGTCAAAGTCAGATCATACAGAGTAAATCACTAGTTCAATATACCAGTATCTTTACGATTGTACATGCAACCATGATGCAACTGAAAATCTCACCCTGGTCTATGAGAAATCTCCTGACTCATAAAATTAATACTGTATACAGGGAAATATTTGCCCCCCGTTTAATTTTCATCCCTTTTGCTCTCTTCATGATTGGGCGAATTTAAAATGGGGCGAATTAAAAAAAACACAGTATAATTTCTTAAACAGAACTATGACTGGGCAAATTTAAAACGGGGCATAATTGTTCGCAGGTGCAAAAAGCCGAAAATATGATGGGGCGAAATTAACCCTGTATACAGTAGTTCGAAGCTTTTCATGAACCAGATTTTTTTTAGCATTTGTTCGTCAAAATTTCTTTCATGCTGTGGTATACAGTTACACTAAAGGAATTGATTTTGTCTTCAGATTTTAGAACTGTTCCTGACCAAAATGTCTTCTTATAGTTCAGTCTGAATTCTTAGGGCATGTGCCAACAGTGAACTTTATATAACAAATTCTTTTCAAGATGAAATCCTTATAAAAGATTTTTTCAGTTAATATCACCCACATATATATCTGCATTTCTTTTTTGTTGTTGTCAGTTATAAACAAATGCCATTTATGCCACCAAGCATCAAACATTACAGTCTGAATTCATCTGCAGTACTTCACCGTGAAGTTATTTTATCAACAGGTACATGTATTTTTTTCCTGAATTTGATAGATAAACTTCCTGTTCGATATACATAAACTAAAAACAAATGTAAGAAATGCCAAACATGAGGAAGAAAACATGAAAGGAAAGAAAAGACAAAATAAACAAACGGTAAAAAAGTTCACACAAATAAAAACTAGGTGTGTAATAAAAGGAAATTTCTGAACTTAATACAAAACAGTTGCGATTTGGAATAAACAAGCAAACAAACAAATGATAACTTATATACATAAGAAAACTTTAGGATAAAAGAATGGGATAAAACAAGGTAATAAACACACAAAGCTGGGCTATAAAATTTTTGTTGTCAAAATAAAAACTGGGAAATGTTTGCTGACAAGCATGACTAGTATCTGTAGAATTTATAAAAAACATTAATTCGTTCCAATCCTTTCAAAACTTTTTTCAAAGAATTCAAACAGCAAAGGCAGGCAATGAAGAACAGAAATTTTATTGACATAAAACAATACAATGAACAGTTGGCAGTAAAGCTTATACATTGTTTACAGTTAAACACCTAATAACCATGATCACTGTGTGATGGCCTTTCAATGTGACAGAAATTGGCAAGACAGACATCGTGAAAACACGGCAAATGCATGATGGCAAAATTTTGGCAGTCCGTATCACCAGAGTCAAGCCTAAAATTGTCTGAACCTTTCATTGTATTGCACCGAACAAATGTAGGGAATTAAGTATTTCAAATTGATAAGATGCCTTAAGTTTTTTAGTTCTGAGATTTTGGGAATTATTTACCAAAAAGATTTGATCAGCACATTATAATGATAATCAAACATACATAATCATAAACCCTATCTAAATTCATTTCTTTGCTATTTGTGTTAACCATTTAATCAATATTAATTAGAAATAATCAAATTTAAATATTTTTTGTTTAATTTCATATTAACATAAAACAGGTAAAAGGTAAACATTGGCAACTGTATTAAAATTATACCAAAGGGAGACAATTTCAAGCTTGTCTTTTGTAAATGCACATTTTCCCTGCAAAATTGAAATCATTTCTTCATTCAAAAACTTGTGCCACTCAGTGTAGAAAAAAAATACAAGTCAAATTTTTGTGTATTATTAAAGATCAGCAAACACAAATCACGACACTCAATGGATTTCTGAACAAAATATCACATACCACTATAATAAATATAGCATCAAAAATATTGTACATAATACACTGTAATATATAAAAATGGTCCTGTATAGTAAACAGTAAAACAAAAAGTTCTAAAAGCCATAGGGAAGGTTGAAATCTAAAAATATATTTGCAGAAGGGGAAACTAGGATGATATATTGTGTAGATGGTTCTATAATGGTGATAAAGTACATGACATTGTACACACCAATTCAGAAGTTGAAAATGTGTCTTGACAGTTAACATATATCATGTATATAATAACCAGTCAAAGAGAGAAAATGATTTAAAGCCATTAGTCAAGAATGGTACAAAACAAATAAATATATATACCCTTTAATAATAGAGTTATCGGTTTCCTACAGTAAACAGGTAAAAACCAGAAGTACACAAAATGACACCCCCACCCCAATATAAAGGCATTTTTTTTTCTGTTTATCAAGCCATGCTATGAAAAACCCAATATATTCTTTCTATTTGAAACATAAAATAGATAGGACTGACTGTCAAAATGGCAAGATGTAATTCTGTAAAAGTTTCTCATTAAATCATATCTGAAGAGTTGTAGATGAACATGATAAAATATGGCCATAAACATAATTGAATTGCTATGATTAAATAGATAAAAATCTTTCCTGCCCTACACAAATATAAGGTATAAAACAAACAACTCTGACTAGCTGAATTCTCCTTAAATAAATACAGTACTAAAACCTTGAAGACTTCACTGAACAACATATATGAAAGACACTGAAACTGCACAAAATGACCCACAGACTGCAAGAGCATGAACAACTGATTACATGACAGTCCCTGGCCAATGACAAACTGGATTTCACAACCCCTTATAAGGCAGCAGACACAACCTGGATAGATTTCCATTGTTAATACCTAATCAGATCAAGTTTACTCATATGGTCGCAAGTCTGATTTTTAATTGTATAAAACAACCTTTACTTGTAAAATTAGACAAAAATCTACACATTGTTTAAGAGATAGGCCTAACAAATTATAACTTTTGCATTTCTGTAAAATTCTAAACCATTTCAAGCTGTTTTTCAATTTAGGTAAAACCTCAAAATTTGATGAACTTCAAAATGTACATACCTTAAAACAAAATTTACCACAAAATATGTATACTTTCTGTGATAGAACCTGTTAAATAGTCTTGTTAACTGCCCTCAGATTTAGAGAAAAAAATACAACCTCATTAATGACAAGAAAATTGTTGTAGAGAGTTCAAAGTTCATGATTTAGCATTGACACAAACCTGAGTGGGCTTCCGTATGGGGGCGGCCTTTCCTTCTCCTTGTGGGGCCCTCGTAGGGGTGACAGTTCCAGAACTATGCACTACACTGACAGGTATATGAACCCCGCGGGAGGCCCCTGCCTGGGACACAGGCGTCACAGCTTTGCTGACCGGACTGGCAGTGACCGGTGATGACAGACTAGGTTTGTTGGGGGGTAGGGGTGGCGGGGTCCCTCTCCCAGGGATCGCTATTTTACGGGGTGACATGTTGACTGGGGAGGAAGGGGAACTTGAGTGCCCCACATTGACTGTCAGCACCTTCCCGCCGCCTGTTAACACCGTTGTAGAACCTGACTGGAGGGGAATTCTGGGACCACCTCGGTACATCTCCGTATTTCTATCTATGGACACCGGCTCTGTTGGCGCCACCCTCATTTCCTGGGTGTCTGTCCTGTAGCCCTCAGACACTGACCTCTCTGGGGAGTGACTGTATCGACCCCCTTTTTGGACGACGGTCTCAACAACACGATTTCTGTCACTCACATCGCTCAGTTTCAGACTTCCTTCGCTCAGCCTCCCGACCTTGGGGGGCAGTTGACCTACATTAGGACTAACGACAGCCATATTGCTCCCTGACTTGTCAGGTGTCTTGACTGTTGACTTTATCTCAATACTCTGGAAACTGTCTTTGTTAGCGGTCACTTTCTCCAGGGCCATCTGTTTCTGGAGCAGATCAAACTGATACTGAAGCGCTTCCAGCTGGTTGGACAGTTCCCGGTTTTTGGCCTCCTCACGACCCAGTTTCCCCCTGAGCTGCTCTCGCTCGACGTCGAAGTCACTCATCTGTTTCTCCATGACGGCCTCCATTTTGAGGGATTTCTTGCTCTCTATGACCAGTCCCTCCACCACGTTACTCGTCTTCTCCTGCTCGTCCTGAAGCTGCTGTTCTAACTTTTGGATCCGTGCCCGGTCTTTAACTAACTTCTCCACCAGCTTCTTCTGTTCTTTGATTAACATGACAGCCACCTGTTTATGTTTGATGGAGTTGGCTCTCTCTTCCTCCAGACTTGCTAATGTTTTCTTAAGATCCTTTTCTAACTTCTTGTTCTGACTTTTCTCATACTCAATCTGTAAATAAAAACATATCTTTACCAAAGCGTTTTTAAATGAATTTGTTTACATCGCACTCAACAGAACATATCGCAATTAAGAAAAAATTATTCTTCTAGTACTCTTAGTAGTGTATAGTGTATATTACATTAGAATTGAAATTTTAAAGGCCGGGGCCCGGACAAACATAAAAAAATTCAACTTTCTATGCTTTCAGTCCTTTTTGAGAAAATATGCTTTTTTTGATCATATTAGATAATAATGTGTCCATCTTTCATTGACATTTTAGAAATAAAGTTCTGAAAAAAAAAGTAGGCGGATAACCAGTGTTTTTTACACAAAGCCCATGTTGGTTAGTTTGTGTTAGTGATTTTTATAATTTATAGAGAAAAAATGACTGAAAAACATAAATTATATTTCAAAAAAAAACACACATGTACAGTTACTGATTTTTTTTCATACAAACCTTAGGTGAACAAGTGATAAGATAGCTAAACTAATATATTTAAGTATATTCCAGTTTAATTATATGAAAATAAAATATTCTCTTTTTAACACAGCCAATACTCCCACATATGTCCTGTATGGCTGATCATTGTTAGGTAGCCAATGTCTCACAAGGCTCTTTTGGCCTCCTGTGATAAATGTAATTTTTTCTCCAACATGTATATCTCGGTCACATTTCTATCTAGTCCAGAATCTTTTGTATTTGTCCTTTCTCCTCTGTTACTTCTGTTTGTCCTCCGAGCATGTTATACATGGACGGCATAGACAATGGATACATTCCTCTTCTTCATCGTTCTGATTTATAACGAAATCAGCAACATCTTCATTGTTCTGCTCCTCTTGGGCCTGGTTTACATTGTCCTCAATTGGAACCTCACTGAACCCACTCATGGTGTGCACGTATTGTTTCTCTCTGAGTTTCTGTTACACAATAGCTAAAATAGATTTCTCTTTGTCCTCCATGTTGTACTCAGCAAATTCCAATCATTTTCAAAAGGACACACCTACAAACACACAGACATTGTCAAATCATCACACACCTACAGATTAAACAGACAGGATTAGGTGTCAAGTCATTGTCAAGATTGCATATACATAGCTTCTTGGATATAGATATCTAAAAATTAAGTTGTTTTTTTTAAAAAATGTTAAAAAAAAAATGCAGGCTTTTTATAAAGTGTCATATATGCAATTCAGCATACACCAAGAATACCTATCTTGTACATTTATTTGTAAAAACCAAAAACCTCAAAACAAAGACATTGTCAAATCATTACACACCTACAAAAACTAAGGAGTGAATTAGAGGGCAAACTGAACAAACATGTTGGAAATCACAAGTCATTACACACAACATTAGCTCCTAGACATAAAAGTTCAGAAAAAGGATGTGAATCAAATCATTACACACCTACAAACTGACAGACATTGTCAAATCATTACACACCTACAAACACACAGACATTATCAAATCATTACACACCTACAAACAATACATGACACATAACAAAATCTGATGATCAAGTGTCACAACGGCATGAAAAACTCGGAACGGAAAGAATATACCAACATTTGAAAGATCAAAATGTAGCTGTAGGAATTCATACTCATGACAAATAAATTGATTAGGAATCCGTGAGTCTACAAATCAAAATGACACACTGGCACAGTCAACACACAGTTAAGTCCTCTTTGACTTCTGGGCCAGCATATCTTGAGGGAAAAACCTTATCAAATCATTGCACACACCTACAAACACACAGACATTATCAAATCATTACACACCTACAAACACACAGACAAATTATGCAAGGTGTGTTTTTTTTTACTATCTTTTCCACAGATTCATTTAACAAAGTAAATTTCTTAATAACTTATTAATTCAATAATTGACACCTACAAACTGACAGACATTGTCAAATCATTACACACCTACAAACACACAGACATTATCAAATCATTACACACCTACAAACACACAGACATTATCAAATCATTACACACCTACAAACACACAGACAAAGCTATCAAACAGATTTATATTTCAATATGTAGAATATTAGCAAGTTCTCCTGTTAAGCCATACCTCCTGTCTGAGTCTTTCTCTTTCCTTTCCAACATGGGGGGGGGCAATGTTTTCTTTTCTCATGGATTTTACACACCTGGCTCACCACACCTTATCCACATAAAATCATTACACACCTACAAACAGACATATCTACATCCCCATTGACATTGACAATTATTTTGTATATCATTGAATCATGTGTATATTTATGTAGTATATACAAGCAAGTTACCCACAAAATTCTTCCCCATGAACTAACAAAATTTTTCAAGTCCACAAACATTGACCACAACAAATTTAATTGATTCCACTTTATTTATAAAATGCTATTATTGCAGACAATATATGCCTTTTTCCTGACACTAGGGGGTGTGGCTGTGGGGGGATGGAGAGCTGACCTTGTGATAGCGTTTCTCGGCCGCTGACAGTTGCTCCCTCATCTTCAGCTGAGCTTTCCTCTGTGTCGCTATCAGGTTCTCTAGCTGTGCCAGCTGATTATCGTACATAGACTTAATGGCGGACTCGTCAAACGAGTTATCCTTCAAGTTATCCGAATCTCTTTGTAATGCAGAAAACGGATCTCCCAATCCAAACCTTCCATACTTTGCTTGGTACAGTAGCTGCTTTGCCTTTTCAGCCTAGAATTAGAATAAATATTGTACATTTCTAGATTTATACAAAGTATCCCACATGTCTAAAATAGATGCTTATTATGCAAGGTGTGTTTTTTTTTACTATCTTTTCCACAGATTCATTTAACAAAGTAAATTTCTTAATAACTTATTAATTCAATAATTGACAACTCACATTTTCTAGGTTTTACAGCATTTTGTGTTTTCATGTTTAAAAATTGTTGATATACTCAGCTCAGATAATTATCAATGAAATTGAATGATACTTGAGAGATGAATGGCTCATTGTTGTAATTTCCTATACCTTCATTGTAGCAATGACAACATCTCGGGCTTGTAACTCTCCTTCCAAGTAGCTGAGTAACCGCAGAAGGTCTGCTTTGTTTAAATCCATTTTAGGGTGTCTCTGTAGAGAATAAACAAGCTATGTCAGGCATCAGATAAATGTGTATATATACTTTACTACAATATGATATGTTAATGTTGATTTTTGAAAATATAATAATTTCTGGACTTTACACATGTGCTACATAAAACATGTAAAAAGTACATTACTCTTAAGCAAAGAAGTTCTTAATTTTCCAAATTCCGTTCTTAAAACTCTATCCGCGATTTCTTCGTATTTTGTAAAATTATTTTCGCGTATCCGTATTCTGTTTTGTCAATCTCCAAAACTTAGGGAAAAAGCAACCACATCATGTTTTATACTAATACATGTAATAAAAATCAACAAATCTCAAATTTAGAAAATAGTGGTTATGGAAAGATAATTGTTAATTATCATGACATAGCGACATCTAAGAGCCTTGATGTCTTCAGGGCCCACCTACTTGATTGAATTAATCAAGTTGTTTTTACTTGCACTTTTGGAACTGTAAACATTAGTACCGTAATTTTTGGGTTATAGGTCGATGGGGTATATAGGTCGAAAGGCTCATTTTCAGCCTTAATTTTTGAAAAATCCTAAGATAGGACGAACTTACTATATAGAACGAGGCTTTGCTTCCCGTTTTCTAAAGATGCTATATTTTGAATTTGCATTCCGTGACATATATTAAACAGGTATTTTAATAGAATTTAAATAAAGTTTTTTTTAAAAAAGTAGTTAAAACTTCTTTGAATTGTGTTACTGCTTATTTTTTTCCAACTTGCCTGTTCAATGCCTCCGTAGTTTCACACCGTTGTTAAATCAAAGGCATAAATAACACGTAAAATTAATACATTATTATTTTACAGCTATAATATTTGGGAAATACCCGAGTTAGATATTTCAGAACAACTTGGACACATTCCTGTTAACTTTATTCGCATTATTTACCGGTGGACGACAATTATTCGATGTCCGCCATTTTTTTTTTCTTCTCCAGCACACGCAAATGACCATTGAATGTATATATCAAGCAACAGTAAAGAATTGAAATCATATTAACACTCTAATAAGTTTAATTTATAAATTTAATTGAGAGTACATTCACAATTTGACTGTCAACATGAATTTCACGGCTTTGTTTGTTCAATGATGTGTAACACTAATACCCTATAACGGCACTTGGGTTTGTTATAATCATGCCCCGCAGGCATTTAAATCAACTAAACACAGGTGTTACATCTTTGTGTACACAGTGTAAATTCCTTTATCTTTCAGACAATTAAAATTCTGTTAGAAGCCAATCTTTGTATGCCGGTAATTCAATGTAAATTATATTTCTGTCTCCCGTATTTATTGCTAATTCTTTGCTTAAGACAATAAAAAATATTTAATATACTATTTCAATTTATCGCTACTAATAAATGGTAAAAACACTACAGTTGTGACCTTGAAAATTTTTCCGTATTTTAAATTTTAATACCGGTTTTACTTTTAGTAAACGGTAGCGACTTCCTAACTTCACAAGATGGATACCGCATGATGTTAATGGATAATACGTTGAGGAATTATTTAATAGATGAAGCAATGTTGTTTTCCTTTGTCATCAACGGATAATTAATGGAATTTATTTTGTAAGAAAGCTATAGAATAAACATTTTATTGTTTACCTGGGCATTAATTTTTCTGCGTAAAATAATGAAAAAAGGTATGAAAGTGGCACAGATTTGCTTTGAAATTGACGTAAATTTTATTGATTTTGGGACATTTTTCGTAAAGTTGAGCCTTAGAAAGGTCGAATTCGTATATTGGGCGACCCCAGCGGTTCTGAGAAAAAAAGTATCGACCTATTATCCGAAAATTACGGTAGTGCTGGGTATCGCGACGGAAAAATCATATCGCGATATATTGCAATATTATATTTTGTATTGCAATATATCACGATATAAATATTTAATAATTTTTTGCTTTTCGTGAAGGTTAAATAAAAACACAAACTCAAATTACATGTATTCTCGAGTTGATATTCCAATTTTCGCGTTATGTCGGCGCAAGCGGCGAGATAATTTTTTTTGTTGGCACAACTTGTTGAATTCAATTAATTGTAATACTTTCAGCTTTAACATGAAGGGGTTTCATATAACAGTTGTCGTCATTTCGTTTTTGAAAGAGACATGTCTCTGGTTTCTGATCTGTGATCACACTTCACGTCGCTTGCCACCATATTTTACCTTGAAAGGGGCAAATAACTCTTCTTGTAACAATTTATAGCATATCGAACACCGGTATTCACAAAAAAATACCGCGATACGTATTGTGCAGAACGAAATCGGGATACACCGGTTAACCGGTAATATCCAGGGTTTGACACTAACGGTAGCCCGCTGGCCCAGGACAACTGAAAATTGAGGTCGGGCTACTCTTCATGCCTTTAAACTTGCCCTGCAGGGCTACTAAGAATTTTACCAAATACTCACTCAGAGCAACAAAAATAATTATCAATTTCACACAATGTATCTAATAATTATTAAATCTATTTTCAAACATGTTTTATCATCATAATTATTATTTTTGTATGTCAAAATGTAAAACTAAAAGGTGATTTGAAATACCCTAAATGATTATAAATCTGGAAGTGTGAATTTTCAAACAGAAAAATGTCTTAGGTACAGTCATAGAGTGACATATAATTTTTACCCAAAATACAGCCAGAATACAGGATTTGGCACCTCTATTTTCAAAATTTCTCGGAGGACTCCCCCCGTACCCCCACCAGCAGGAGGGGGAAACTCCCTCCCACACCTACCCCCCTCGTCGCATCGCGACTCGGCCATCAGCCTTCAGCTGCTGGACAACAAATACATGAACAGGGCTAGTAGAAATTAGAAATGGCTAGCCCTGCTGACAACCATGATTTTAAAGTAAGTGTCAAACCCTGATATCGCACAGCACTAAACAGTAAAGCACTATTTTTACTTTTTAAAAATTGGTATGTGCACCGAAGTGGCAGTGTCATCAGTGATTGATCGTGGCCACAGAGTGGTAGAAGTAGAAACATGTGGTTCATGTTTAAATAAATTACATGTATACTTAAATTGTTAATAATTCGAAATTATTCAAATTAATGGTAAACATGGTAAAGCTCCTTGACACTTTTTTAAGTTTAATATAAGCACTAGCAATAAATGTATATTGCATCAAAGAAATGGTGCAAAATCTAAATTGTTCTTTCACAATAACAAACTATCTCCTAATGACCTATAGGTCTCAAAAATAAACATTCACAATATATTGTTGTCAAAGTATACAGGTATACAAATGCAAAGGTTTGCAAATACTTTGCCTTGCAGAAAGCATACCTTCAGTGTATTTGACTGGAGTTTGCTGGCAGGATCATACATTCCTGCGCCGGGAGGTTGCTTCACATTTCTTGATGACGCCATTTTCGTTGCTTTTTTCTCCAGAAAATCTTCTGAAAAGATTTATTTCCCGCAAAAAGTCAGTCGTTAATTTACATGGTTTATGCTGTACCGTTAATAACTGGATTTAAACGGCTGCGATGTTATGTCTTTCCACTTCAGAGGACGTAAACAATTAGGAAATTTGTCATTGTTCCAACAGAATCATCTTCAGAAACAGTCACGTGACTCAAAGAGGAAATATTTCATATTCTCTGTTTCGAATTTTGAAAGAAGAGATTTCGTCAAATTATATCATCAAAACTAAAAAGAATCTTTTAGACGACGCAAAAGAGAGAAAAATGTAAATTAAATCATAATCGTAAACAGTTTTTAAAAAAGTACGTTAACGCGGCTAAATATATTCTTCTTAAAAAAAATCGTTGTAAAAATAGAACCAGGAGAAATCAATTTTTGATATTTTTTTAATCATATAATAGAGGTTAGGCGCCCAATTTACCAAACATGAAGCTTTCTTATATTACTCGAATTTTAACAGCTTTTTATTTTCTGTTTTAATGATTTTATATTCTCAGCATGACAATAAATAAGGTCCTTCGAACTTTGTACTATTTTTACACCTACCACATCTGTTTTTGACAGACGCTCACACTGACGAAGCCAGGGGAGAATATACCACATTTCTGATGGTTTAGAACAATGCCACCATGGGACTAAAGACCTTATGCTATCAAGCACATTTCAAAAAGCCGGTAAAATACATCACAAGATATTGTCAGCGATGTATGAGTGTGGCATTTGCAGAAGAATCGAGAACCAACACTTCTACTTCACAGAAAATCAAGCCTTTCAAAGACATACCTGGACCCAAAGGCCTGCCTTTTCTTGGAACAATCTTACATTATAGAAATGGTATAATACTGAATAGAATGTTTTATCGCTAAAATGATAAATGCGCATTTAATGATGTCCGATGAGGGTCTGTTCTGAGACACAATGACAAAGGTTATTCTAAGTTGTTAGAATGATGTTACTGTGTCTCGGTACAAGCCCTCACCACACTTAAAATACCTCCCATATACTTGCAATATAGCAAATTGGAGCAGATCCGCTCCGTATTGATTTTGAAGAATACAAAAGGGGTTGGGTTGAAAATAACTATTTGTAATTCTGTAAAACTAGTCATTATTTCCCTGAGCTGATTAGAAATGACATAAATTTAACAACTAATAATTAAAACATCCAAATATTTTAACAAACAAATTTGTGTTACAACTTTAATACTGTACTGTAACAACATATTTTCTCTTTTGCTGTAGGTCCATTTCGGAAATTTACTGTAGATAGGTATCAAGATGCACTGATTTCTCGCTACAAGGAATATGGACCCATTGTCAAGGAAAACATAGCAGGTGTGACCTCAGTTCGAGTCTTTGACCCCGATGATGTCAGAACAGTTTTCCTGAATGAGGACAAACAGCCACATGTGGCCCCACTTCTGGACACAACAAAACAATACAGGGAACAAAGGGATCTTTCACCAGGACTCGGAAACACGTAAATCATTAAATACACTCAGTCAAATTTAATGGATTCAGCAAAAATGAGAAGTATTAAAGATTTGAATGATTTTTATTAACCTATTTTGAATCTGATCTCCAATATTGAATTTATTTTTTCCCACCTGAAGAGGCTTTTATGACAATTCACTCAAAATACTTTGGTTGATACTGCATACAAAATAGATAAGCACTTTAAATTTGAGAAAACATGAAAGAATAATGAGTTGATTGATGTATCTGCAGCGATGTGATAAGGTTTAGATGATATTAAGTTTAATTACTTCGTTTGACTGTGTGATAACTGTAGGAATGGAGAGGAGTGGTACCGATTGCGGAGCGCCGTTCAGCAGATGATGATGAGGCCGAAGGCCGTCACTGTTTATCTCCCCCTGGTGGAGGAAGTGGTGGACGATTTTATCCAACGAATAAAAAAGATCCGGAACAGTAAAGGGGAAATAGAAAACTTCAGACAGGAGGCAGCAAAATGGAACCTGGAATGTAAGGACCTGTCACCTATATATATTCATTTGAATTTGAAATGGAGAAAAATGTGATTGTTAGTTTTATGTTTTGTTTTTTTTTCCTGCCCATAGCTTCCTGGAAAGACTTGTTGCTCTCATGAGTTTTTTCCCTGTTTATAGCCTCTGGGATGACCTGTTTTGAGACCCGCCTTGGTTGTTTAGAAGACACCCCCTCTTCACATATACAGCGTATGATTTCCAGTAATAATGCCATATTTGAACTGTCAACAAAGATCAACTTCTCTGTGCCTTTCCACAAAGTCCTCACAACAAGGCTGTGGCAGTCCCTTCTTGATGAGGAGGATTATTTCTTCAGGTATAAAAATAAATGTCTCAAAATGCGATACCCATGAGGATGGTTTTTTTTTTTTTGGAGCAGCAACTCTTGACAATGAACTAAATTATTTAAATTAATTGTTAATTTCTGAAAACGAGCCTTAAATCTGTGTAAAATCTAACCACAAATTTAATTTTTGAATTTTTAAAGCAATTCAGAACTTATATTAATTTATTTATTTATGAACTTATATGAACTACAGGACCTCAGGATTGTTATTTTTGATAATATGACATTTTTTTTTGTTTGTCAGGAATGGTCAGAAGCTGGTGGATGACACGGTTGGGAGGATCGACCACCTGAGGGAGGAGGGGAGGCTGGGGGAGGGAAAGTACAACTTCCTGTTGTATCTCCTGTCCAGAAAGGAACTGTCCTTCAAAGATGTCAGCATAATTACTCTGTCACTGTTTGGGGATGGACTTAATACAGTAAGCAATTCAGGATTCAAAGATGTCAGCATAATTACTCTGTCACTATTTGGGGATGGACTTAACACAGTAAGTAATTCAGGATTCAAAGATGTCAGCATAATTACTCTCTCTCACTGTTTGGGGATGGACTTAACACAGTAAGTACGAGGGGTTATCAAAAAGTTCGTGGACTAGCGCCATAAAATTAAAACCGCTAAAGGTACATCAATGAATTTTGAAATATCTAGTTAGCATCATCTTTTCTATCCAAAGAATAAACCACAAATCATGAATTTAATTTTTTAATAAATTAGTGATGTTTTTGTAAGCAATGGTATGTCCAGGCGGCGCAAACTCGAAAACGACGTTTTTTCGACCTATGTGTAACTGAGAAAAACTCATTTAATATGAATATTTGACATCCAAAAATCCCGTTAATTCAGATATGTGTCATGACACAATTGTTCTATAAAATATAAAATTTTCACTTCATTCTGGAAGTTCTATGAAATTTTATTGTAAATTTTACACGGAATGTCCAAACAAATGAGGACTTGAAAATGACATCAAAAGGGGGGAGGGGTTTCCGTTTCCAACATTCTATAAAGTTTTGCCCCTGAAAAAAATAGTATAGACCTAAAATATGTTGAAACTGGCTACAGAGAAATCATATGCATCCAGAGTACTTCTCTTTTAATGTCAAAATAGATTCAGAGTGTAAAGGGATACACAGTTAATGTCGATTTGCAGTCAAGGTGTGAAAAATCAATCCCGTCAAAAATGACGTTGATCATGTGTTGTAGATATTGAACTCCCAAAAGCAAAATATGCCGGCACAATCAAGCGCAGATCTCTCCCAATGTATTAATCCATCTGGAATGTTATATTCATTGAAGGCCACTATTCATGACATTGTAAAGTCATATAAACAAGGCGGGTTTAAGTCCTTACTCAGCTCCAGGGAATCTCATCAAAAAAGTGTATGAGGTAGAAAAAGAGAACATTGAAAAAACAATGACGTTATCGGACGTCATGAAAATAAACGACGACAGCGCCGGGTGATCATATAATGTCGTTTTCATTTTATAATAATTTGGCAAATAATGAACGTATCAGGCTAAAATTTTCAACATTTCTCTATTTTGTGTTGTTTTATGTTCCATATAAATTTTGAAAGCACAGACTACATAGTACTAATTTAATAACCTCAGTCCACGAACTTTTTGATAACCCCTCGTAATTCAGGATTCAAAGATGTCAGCATAATTACTCTGTCACTATTTGGGGATGGACTTAATACAGTAAGTAATTAAGGATTCAAAGATGTCAGCATAATTACTCTGTCACTGTTTGGGGATGGACTTAATACAGTAAGTAATTCAGGATTCAAAGATGTCAGCATAATTACTCTGTCACTATTCGGGGATGGACTTAATACAGTAAGTAATTCAGGATTCAAAGATGTCAGCATAATTACTTTGTCACTGTTTGGGGATGGACTTATACAGTAAGTAATTCAGGATTCAAAGATGTCAGCATAATTACTCTGTCACTGTTTGGGGATGGACTTAATACAGTAAGTAATTCAGGATTCAAATATGTCAGCATAATTACTCTCTCACTGTTTGGGGATGGACTTAACACAGTAAGCAATTCAGGATTCAAAGATGTCAGCATAATTACTCTGTCACTATTTGGGGATGGACTTAATACAGTAAGCAATTCAGGATTCAGAGATGTCAGCATAATTACTCTGTCATTATTTGGGGATGAACTTAATACAGTAAGCAATTCAGGATTCAGAGATGTCAGCATAATTACTGTGTTTGGTGATGGACTCAATACGGTAAGAAATTCAGGATTCAGCATAAAAGCTTTGTTATTGTTTGTTGATTGACTTGATACTGTAACAGTATTAAGTAATTCAGAATTCAAAAATGTCAGCATTATAACTTTTCACTGGAATGAAATTTAGCAAGGTTTTCTTATCTTTTGTTGAGGTTGATACTGTAACTAATATCAATTTGTACCAAGGAAAAAATTTTAAATCATTTAACATGTTGAAGATTATTGAAAATGTACAAAGCATTGGTGTTTATACACAGTACTTAAATATTTTCTAGATGAATTGGATAGTTTTATTAATTATGATTATTTTCCTAGACTGTGCCAACATTGATATTTGCAATGTACTGCATAGCCAAAAATCCAGAGGTTCAACATAAAGCTTATGAAGAAGTCCGAGATGTTCTGAAGGACGGAGGGCCTATAACTGGAGAACACATCAACAGAATGACTTACCTCAAAGCTTGTGTCAAGGAGTCACAAAGGTGATTCATTTAGGCTACTCATTTTTCATCACTTTAAAACATTTTCTGACATTGATTTATAGGTAAACAAATGTACAGTTGGTTGTTCAGTAGAGATCCTCAATAGTCATTAAACAGAAAAAATATAATTAAGTTGAACTTTACAGTAATACACAGTTAAAGCAAAGTGCCAGGGATATGCAATTTTGATATGTCATAAATGAAATTCATTATAACCATTAACATTACAAAACATTTTTTAACTACAGGGATTAAAAATCACTTCACTGTAAGCATGAGTTCATTGCAAGCATGTTCGCTATAACAATAATTACTATATTTATTTTAAATATTTTATTTTATTCTGCTTATGATTCCCCTTTCTATTCCAACCTTAGGATCCTGCCCATTGGCCTAGAAATTAAGAGGATTCTGAAGAAGGATTTAGTTCTGGGAGGGTATCTAGTACCAGCTGGGGTAAGTTGTTTGTCAAGCTGAATGTTCAGTAAATGATCTTGATATAGGCTTTAAGCTCCACGTAAACTTTACACACAGCAGTTAGTCTGATTGAAGATAATGTTTATAATACTTATTACAATAATGTGTATTTTCTGTACTTGAAAAGGGAAGCTGTAGTAAGACTAGAATTAGTTACACGAGCAGTCATCTGATACTTGCTAAGTGAAAGAGCCTTGGATCATATATATATTATTTTTTTTATACAGACAATAGTTGAGCTGGCTCCTTATGTACACTACAAATCCCCGGAGTACTTTGTGGACCCGGACCGGTTTGTCCCAGAGCGTTGGCTGAGGGACGGGTCAGCTCTGAACATCCACCCCTATCTTCTCACACCATTTGGACACGGACCAAGGATGTGTGCAGGTTATTGTCCAGTTTTACTAACTTAACTAGCTACCAGCTGTCCAGTTTATCTGCTGTGAAATCACAAATTTTTGGGGGGGGGTTTGATTTGCGTTATTTTCGAGGTTTGAAGAGACCCATAAATAAATGTCGAATACGAAATGTAAATGTTACATACATAACTACTCAAACAACAATTCTTTATCCATGAAATCAAATCCCAGTGAACCGATAGATTTTCCCCAAACCAGGAAAATTTGACCCCATGAAAATATGTGATTTTATAGTAGCTATTATATGGCAACACCATCTTATGACCGTTGTTTGTCTGGTTAATTTAAATGTAAGTTAAATGTAAAATGTACTGGTTGCTTTAACGTTAAAGGTCATTTTTATGAATATCAAAATTTCTTAAAATTTTTAGATTTTCACAATTATGTGGTCTTTTTGTAAGGAGCTTTTGCATTTTTCTAATGAGGTCCATAAAAATTGACAACTTCTTTCCTTTTGAATTTAAGGGAGAAGATTTGCAGAACAGGAGCTTTATGTTCTTTTATCCAAAATGTTGAAGAACTTTGAGTTGGGGTATGATGGTGACCTTGACATGAAGTTCCAGGTTTTGATGGTCCCTGACAGACCTACGACCTTCACCTTTAAAGAAAGGTCATCCTGATAGAGTCGGGCCATTCAAAATCTGAACACTCTGATTGGACAATCCTGGTAGAACAATAATGACTTTGATGATTGGGCATTTCAATATCAATCCAAATAACATTATTTTTGTAAAGTCATGCCAAGAGCTTTCATTAATGTGGTGAAAATTAGTGATTACAAACTGTATTCCTTTAGAAGAGTATTAAAAGTGTTCACAGGTGTACATTGTATGTGTTGGAAAAGTTGTTATCAATATTGATTTTTTTATTTTATGCATTTGAAAATCATGCAGCATTTCCAAGGAAGTATTGTACAGCGAAGTTGGTTATGCTACAATTACTTTGTACTCCTGTGTATATACATGTATACTGTAGAAACACAAATTTTCTTGGGGATCAAATTTTATTGATTTTTTATTTTAAATGGTTTTGTAGGCATTAAATTTCATCGTTTCGGAAGTATCCCAAGTCAATAAAAATTCATGTGAAAATAAATTTTGGGTGGGATTTAATTTCATTGATAATCGTTTACAATGAAATAAACGGAATTTTTTCCCAATGAAATTTTCTGTTTTTACAGTATTCAATCCCATAAGCAACAAAAGTCTTTTTCAATTATGTTAATATTCACATTTTAATAAAAATATAATTGGCTCACCATTGATTAAGCATTGTGCACAAGTAGTCAAGAAAATGAAACATATGATATCCTGCGGCAATTTTTTTATTGGTGCCTTTTTTATGTGACCTTGACTGTCATGTAATATGATATTGGGTATTAATTAAATAAATAACAAGATTGGCAATATACTGTTTGCATATATATTCCTTTTATTCTTTTAAAATAAATGTTATTATAGATTCATATACTAGTAGTTCTTTGTTCATACTCAGTTGAAAATAATAAGAGGATTATCTCTTGTAAGCACCTTTAATATCATCAGATTTATATCTTTTCTAGCTTGTAACATGAGTTTTGATTGGTGAGAAAGTGATATAAATTTCTATACACCTGACTTGAGTCAAAACTAAATAAAGTGATGTTACAGTGCAGTTTCTTGATATCAAATAGCAATTAACATGATGTACAATGCATTTTGCAGGGAGTATATGTAATAGTTTGAAATACCACTTATTAGCCGTAGCTTTATGAAGTTTTATCAAATGGGAAATTAGATTCATTATCCAGGTCCAATGTCCAATGTTTGGGACTTTTCGCCGATTTCCCTTGATGCATAAAAGTATAAAAATTGCCGACAACAGATGCTGCTGCGCCTTGATAATAAAATTAGCCTTTGACAAGTTAATAATTGACATATCAAATTTATGTTGGATACCAGATAAACGGATTTTTACTAAATATAAATAGCTCCTGAATTCCTAAGAGAGACAGAACATGTGTATATATAGACGAGATTACGAAAAATGACCGATCACTTATCAGGTATTCTTTAATTGTTAATAACTCATTAAAACGGACAATAATCATTAAGATTGCCACAGTTTACTTAAAATTATTATTTATTATTTTTTCTGCATTATTTTTGTTGTTTCCACAATTTTACGAAGCAAAGGGAAAATAAAGCTTTCAAACTGTGACTTTCTTTTTCATAGAAAACAATCCTTTTTATCAAAAAAAAATATAGGAAATATGTTTGTCATTTTAATCATGTATACTGTAGACATCTGCGACGGCAGTTTGAAATTAACGTTCAGACAACTAAAAGCAAATTTTACTTACATTTTCATTTAACAAATATGTTATACCTCAATATAAAGTATTACGCTGGTGTGCTATACATCGATTGTAAAATTTACATTTATACAAAAATTCTTCGAACTACTTAAATTCTTTTAAAATATTTCATATATGTTCGATCATATTTCATATTTTTAGTTAATACAAGCATCTGTACTTTTTCTGTACAAATCACTATATTGAATTGAAATCAATATATTTAGAAAACTGAAAACAAAGAAAACTTATTGCAGTCTTATCAATGAAGTCACAGATGTGAGTCTCCCAAACTATTAACTGATAAATGAGCAGACCGTAACAAGGTAAGAAATGCCTCTAGAACGACAGCTTACTACATTATAATGTCTCTGATCAGATAATCCAATCAATGAGAGTAATTTACAGAATATGTGACCTAAAATCATACTACTGGGGTATTTATCAGTCTCACCAAAACATTTATGTACATGTATATTTATATATCTGTGGATTACTTTACTTTCAGAATCAAAAGATATTTTGATATGTTTAATGTTATGAAACAAGAATCATGTCAACACATAGAAGAATAGAGCGCAGCGGTCAGATCTTGGTATTATCGTGGGCTGTTGGACTTTGTTTCAGCGATCATTCTGAAAACCAGACGACAGAAGACTCCCAGAATTCCCCGGACTCAGACAGACTTAACATCCTGTTTGGAGTTTTCACCCTCATGCTCATCGTTGCCATAATGTCTGGTGTCGCTGTGTGCATCATCAAAGGGAATCAAATCGAGGCTGAAAAAGCAGACGACAACGAACATTTGCATGAAGATGACGTCACAGAGAGGACACTTCTGACAACCTCATCTTGAAAACAGCTGAGAACCTCACAGTCCAACTTGTAATATGAATTTTAAAAAAAATGCACTCGGATGGTGGAATTAAATCTGATAACTGATGCAAACTGATATAAACAACCTCTTCTTGAATCCTGTAGATCTGAACAGGGCAAATATTACCGGAATATGTTGTGTGTGTATTTGATTAAGCTCATCACAATGTTCGAACGGGAGTGACGTTTTAGTGTTACCTTATGGTTGTGGCCTCGATATAATCTTTCAAAGCTGAGGAATTGTGACAAAATCATAAAAGAGCATGTTTTTCTTATGAATATTTTCTAACACAAGACAGGCTACTGACAAACAAGCTGATGAAACAGTGGTACCATCAAAATAGTTTAAAACGTTTCGTAAATACGATTGTCGATACAAAAACTTTACTTGCTAATACAATCTGACATTGGGTCGGATGTTGACTGACACCTTTAATATAAAATTCTTGGGCGATTAACTTTCATACTGAACTCTTTATGGATTTATACGTTTACTCCGATCATGGTAAAGGGTACACGGCGATGTGACCATTCGACAACTAGGGAATGCTTATTCTTCTATGGGACATGATTTCAACTCTGATTTAAGGGGCCCCTACTTACTCTGCTCATAATTTTTTATTGTGGACTTTTGAGCATTGTTCGATCAATATCTCCATATTTATGGCAGATATTTTTATTTATTTGGTATTTTAACCATCCTATTAGTAAGACCCAAGTGCAATCATCAAAAAAAAAAAAATAATAATAATAACAGCAGTGTTTATCTGCAGTATAGTTAAGCTTATCATAATATACCAGTTAATATGTGGAAAATTAATGTTTTTTGTTATGCAATGTAATAAAAATCTGCACATAACAAGATTTGTAGATAAAACACTGATCACAGTCTTCGTATGGGAGCTCATGGCGAACGTTAAAGTTTCTCAAAAGCAAGTTAAACTCGATGTTCAAGGTCAAAAGATGAAAAAGGACATTAAACATGTGTCTTATGTAGAGTCTTCATCTTCCCAGTTTTGGTATGAAACCATCACATCATACAAAACATCAAAAGATTGTAAGGTTTCTATTAAAGTTATACCGGTATTTGATAATTCCTTTTCCGATCCCATGTCTTCTATTTCAAAATGTTCTGTAAAAAATTGTAAAACCAGTGACATTTTGATAACTAACACCTCTTTCACCAGTAATCTTACTGGACAGAACTTCTATACCAAAACTTGTGAAAATCTGAACTGCAAATCTTCTAATGTTGTCTATGGAATAGAATGTAATCTGTGTGGACTTGTTTATGTTAGTGAAACCAAGGGGTCACTTAATAAAAGAATATCAGGTCATTGATTTCAAATAAATCATGATGGTCAGCAGCTTTTATACAAACATTTTAATTCACCTGATCATTCTATTTTGTCAATGAAAGTTAGAATTCTCGAAAAGATTTATCACCACACAAATAGTCCGTCGCTGAGTACACCTTTCCGTAGATAACGATAAGAATTTTGAATTAGAAAACCAGGGACAGTCAGCCTTTCCCTATGGATGTTATCATAGGGGCTTGTCTTCCGGATTGTTAAATGTAAAATAAATTTTAAAAATTTTGTTGAGTGGTGTTCAACAGATAACGGCCGATCATTGGTCGATGTTCGACCAAACATTGGCCCGTAGACGACCGATGTTCGAAGCATGTTCACCAACGTATGAGCGAAGTAATATACATCGGCCGATTATCCTGGAACATCGTTTTATGATTAGCAATGCATCGCTGGGCCTTTGTATAAATTTTTATCAAAAACGCATTGGTTGAATCGCTGGATAATCACCACGGATGCCGATGACCACCGGTCTACGGCTACCGGCCGGGAAATGTGACCTAGGCATTAAATACACTTAAAAGTTGTTAAAATAAAGATCCTGACACTTTCAGGCAAGAAAAACCACGTTTAAAAAAGACGTACCACACTTATATACATAAACTTGTATATAGGTGTGGTACGTCCCTATGGATGTTATGACAATGTTTATTAGTGTTGGAAATCTTTCCATTCCACAGTGTAACTATGTAAATGTGATGGGACTTTTTAACCATACACAGAGACTGGGCATCGGTCTTACAATAAACCTGTAATACACGATGTTTCTTCTGGTTCAATACTACCTTATGTAAATCAACAGTTAGGTCTACATCATTTTCGCACAAAACTTTACTCTCACCCTTTGAAACTTTTAGTTTTCTTGAAAAGGCCAAGGAAAGTCCAAATTTTGATTCCTCGACACCAGAATATAAGCTCGGATCTCTAATTATGGATATTTTAAATCACAGGCTTTAAACGCGCACGTTTTATTGAAGAAAATGCAGCTAAAACAATGCGTTTTTTCCTTAAACTTCAATATGCCAATAAAGGAATTGACGCGGTTAATAAAAGTAATAATCTGAACCACAAAAAGTTCCAGTCTTGTTTTCCCCCATATTTCAAGTTAAAGACTACACCTTGTATTTCCTACAAATATACATCGACCATTGCTTCCAAACTTTTCAATTACAAAAAAAAAATTCAAGGCCTGGATATCGAGTATCTAAACATAACATAATCCTTCATGTTCTTCTTCGCCCTATAACTATAGTCCTGCTGGACACGTTAGTACAGGTGACGTCAATATAGTTAATAATGAGAACCTCAGATCACTTATATTAAAAGGTCCTGAATATAGAAAACCCGATCCTTCAACTGGGGTCGGAATTTCATAAATATTATGAATTCTGTGGAAGATTATGCCAGACGATGGACCATATATGCAAAAGAAGACGTTGACACTTTGTCAGAATGGATTAAATGTATGAGATTCATGTTAAAATCGCGTATTATAAGATTGAGGGGCAATATGGAAACCATCTATCCTTTGGTATTCAATAATCCAGAAGTGAAAAAAAGAATTAGCTAGCTGACAAATCTGTTGAATACTTGGATATTTTACTTGAAAAAGACGTTAATGGTAATCTAACAATCAAGCTCTATGACAAAACGTGATGACTTTAACTTTTCTATCGTCAACTTCCCTTACTGATGTAGCAATATACCTTCATCGCCTGCATACGGAGTTTATATATCTCGGTTGATTCGAGAGCATGCTCTACGTATGAACAATTTCTAAAACGAGGTAAATTATTGACAAACAAGTTGATGAAACAAGAATATCATCAGTCTCATTTAAACTCATCATTTCGTAAGTTCTATGGTCGATACAATGACCTTGTCAGCA